GCTGTGGTCTCAGAATGAGCATAACTCCAGGCATGGCAGAGACAGGCATGTGGGAAGCTCACCAAGGTGTAAGGATTCATGCTCAGACCTAATGGGTGCTGCTCTTTCACTTGAGTCACTGCAGGCACTTGCCACTTGTCAAGACAGACTCAACAACATCCTCTTCAGCTGAGCAGTGGCGCTACCAGGCTGAGAACTTTTTGCTCCTTGATTGTCCTCATTCTTCTAGACAGAAGTAAATACATATTTGTGAGGTAGCGTTGAAGTCTCTGGTGGTACTCAGAGGTTGAAGAAAGACACTAGAACAGAGCTGTAGTTTTTTTTAAGCACCATGAACATTTATAGAAAAGGAATAATAAGAAAGAAAAAAAAAGTTTGAATAATACCAGAAACAGAAATAGGAAAAAAGACCCTTGGGTGGAAGAGGAAGAAACCTACTTGATAGCACTAAAATGTAATAAGGGGCAAACAATCTAAAATTGAAATATGACTTACAATTATATTTTATGCTCAAAGCAGTTAAATATTATTGCAGTTTACATGAGAATTAAAGCAGAATTGTAGAAATTGGAAGTGTGGCATTGAAGGAAAGTTGCTATGCTTTGGCCCCGCTTTCAACAGGGACTTTGTCAGTAAGTGAAGGAATCCCAAGTTACTGGGTGTGAATGACAGACCCACTGGTTTTGTGTGTCATTGGCTATGGAAACTGATTTGCTTGCACTAGACTGACTCAAAAGTCTACACAACATCAGGCAAGCAGGTCTGACCTGATTTACATATTTTGTGTACTGCAGTACACTTGTATACAGAAAAGGAAAATCTACTGAGTTTAGAGATTAGCAGACAATTGCTTCACTATTCTCGACATTGTATAATTCATGTACACTAGTTAGTTAATATAAATTTGTTTAACATATACCTAAATGTCTTCCAGGATCAGATGGAGTTTTTTACAGAACTGATAGACTCAAATGGATGAGGATGTTCTGGCTAACCTATTATTCATTCCTTCTGAAACAGGAAAAAATGGTAAATAGTTCCTCAAGGTGTAGTTATATATTTTTGAAAAAGGGAGGCACTATGAAAGAAATCTCAGAGCAGCAGAGAAAGAAATGGATGCAACAATGCACTGGAATTAGAAGCTCAGATTTAATTTTTGACTTTGCTGCTTCCAAACTGTGAGTCTCCTGGCAGGTCATTTCACCTGTCTGTTCCCCTTCCTACTCTTGTGTCTAATTTGTCAAATGAAAGTGGTAGCAGCTTAGGCCAGAGGTTGCTTGTAGGATCTAATGCTCTTAATGTCTGGTTCTGTTAAAGGGTTGCAGTTACTAATATTCCTCTAGTAAAAAGAGGCATTTAAAAAATCCCAAACCACTTGATAGGAGATAGTAGGAATTAGATAACTAGATGCACTATTATAGAAAAAAAACACTCAGAAGCAGAATCTCAAAATTATGAAGAAAATATCCTGATTATTTTAATGTTGTGAAAGAACAGGAGTAAGGAATAGGAGCAAAGAAATATAGTCAGAGTATAACTGTCCTCCTACAGAGAAACCAACAGAACAAGCTGGCCCTTTCTTTGACTTCTACAAACTTCTGTTGAGTTCTCAAGAAACTGAAAGTGGAGTTGAGGTGGGAACAATAACTTCCTAGAAGTGTGCTTCTTGAAGAATGGCTGTCCTGCACTGATCCTGTGGCTCTGTTCCTACTCTGCAGTGAATATTCTGCAGCTTTAGTTCAGCTGAAATGCCTCCTCCCTTCACTGCTTCCACATAAATTGCTATTAATGTTACCATGTTATACAAGTGCATTGGGGAGGAAAATAGGCCCACTAATGCATTGTCCTGCTCCAGTGTTTTTTAACCTGCAGGATGCCACGTTATTCCATGGACTACGGGTGGGCATAGGCCACAGGAAAAAAGCAAACAGAGGTGGGACATGCTCCAGAAGGCTGCATCTGCCTCACCCTTTCTTCCCCATGCTTCTCTCGGGGCTGTGTGCAAAGCTTAACGCAGATGAAGCATATGCTCCCAGAGTTGCCTTATGGCCTTCCTTCCCTGCTCACATGACAACCGTCACTTGTAGTCAGCCATGGTAGCAGCTCCGAGGGATCCAGGGCCTGCAGGCTCCGGCTGCAGCTGGCTAGTCCAAGCTTCCTTTTTATTGTATGAATAAATTTACAATGGCCATGGAACGCATGTCTACCTCAGCCCAGAAGAGCTACCAGTGGACAGGTGAGCTCCACAGGCAGCAGGTAGATTCTGTCCTGGGCAGGAGAAAAGAAGATGGTAATTAAGGATCCAACTCAGTCCCCTCCCCAACACTACTGAGCTCCATGGCAGGCCCCAAAAGAGGGGAGTTAAAAATATATAAATATATATATATATATAGTATAAATTACTATTATTGATATCAATGCTACTATTTTTTCCTGTTATTCTTAAATAAGAACAAAGTGAATGGAAATATTTTTTCTCTCTTGACAGACCACAGACACATCTTTTATGTTGTGCCACGGATTAATTAGGAGGGGACATGCAGTTGGGAGGTGGGTACTCTGCCGCCAGTTGAGTGCAAAGCAGGCAAAGCCAGATGAACTCACACAAATTCCATGGACGTGCAACTTGGAAGCCCCAAATCCCACTGAGCATGCAACAGAGCAAATGTTTTATCTGAGCTGAACTGCACCGACTTTAGTGCAGGCTGGCTGTGCACAGCAGCCCGTGTGAGCCTGCCACAAGGTAGGGTCAGGGCATCACTCTCAAAAAAGAATACCAGTTACACACAAGTGACAGAAAGGTCCTATCTGATGACACAAGTTTTTGCAGAAAAATCTAGACATGCAACTTGTGTGGAGTTCTAAAATACTAATGAGCAAGCAACTTTAAAAATTTCAGCACTTGCTGTCTTGCTCTCCCTTGAAAAATTCCTCACAGACACTTGCTAACACCTCAAAACTCTTGATAACAGTGGTTGAAGAAAGCCAGAAATATCTCCAAGTGTGCATAAAAAGAGATTAAATTGCTTGAAATATTATAGAGAAAAATGGAAACCCAGAAATATTTACTATCCTCTCCCCTTCATGAAGTCAAGTGTTTGCAAAAGGTCCTGTATTGACAACCCAAGAAAATACAGTTCGCTCTTTCACTATGGACAGAATAAATCAAAGGCAGTGGAAATGCAAACATTCTGTTTTCTGAACATACTAGCACACCTCAGCTTACTCATCTCTCTTAGAGGGTGAAAAAATCCTTGTGCTTCTAAAGACCTAATAGGTGGCCTGCCTTGCAACCAACTCACGAGCCATTTGTAACTGCATGAAGCAGACACAAAACACAATTGTTCTACTTAGGAGCACTGTAAGTCCATTTTGTACAGCTGTAAAAAACTACATTACATGCAAGGTGTCCTTATCTTGGCCTCTTTTCTGAAAGGGCCAGCAAAGGTATCAAGTGTAATAGAGAGAACTGATAACAACAAAATAAAACAACTTTTAAAATGAGGTTCATGTATACTGTCAAGTGCCTACATCACTTATACTGCTCAGTAATTACCTGCTTTGATAGGATTTTAGCAATGAAGAGGTATGACAGGCTCCATGGTGTGGTGTTATTAATATGGGTAAAAGAATCCAGGACATGAGGCACTAATAGTACTAATACTGACATGTAAGAAAATATACCATGGAAGTTTTAACTGTCTGGATTAGGCCTCTTACTCTTACCAGCAACTGTTTATGCATACTGAAAAGATGCTGCTTACCCACTACTGCCAAGCACTTCACAATCCAGAAATGATAGGAGGAAGCTCTGCCTAAAAATTAGGCCAACCTTTTTATATGTGATTAATGAAAGGTGTGTGCTTTCACTTGTCAGTGTCCCAGCCTCTGACACCTGACGTGCACCTGACTTCCAGTGGATAGATGGTCAGCTCTGCCTTCTTACCAATGAAAATAAATACTGAAGTATAATGCATTAATTACAATAATATGCTTATGCTGTTTTTTTAATATTATTCAGGCACTGACAAACCCATCCCTGCTTACAACAAACAAGAGGGTGGGGCATTTAAAATACTTTTGTCACATCTTAAGAAAAAATGTGCACGCTAATTTTAAAATGCTTTTTCAGAAACATGGATACAATTAAATTTTCTAATATGAGCTTGTACTTTACTGCACTGCATTATTCAGACATAAGAAATATTATTTCATGGTTATTTAACATAATTCTGCCATACTGAGAAGAGGGGTTGGGGAATGACAGAAGAGTAGACAAGCCATGGAAAGATGCTGAAATTAACCATATTACATTGGAAAAAAGCTCAGGACTGAGAACATACGGAATAAACTCTGCAACATCCTTGGATGTGTAAAACCATAATGAATCACAAACATTGCTCTCCTACTGGAAAAAAATACTACATTTCCATTGTTATAATAAGTATATTTTAGTTATTGTTATAATAACTATTATTTCTTAATTTATTATTACTTAAACTATTATTTCTTAATTTATTACTAAAAAAACTTTACTATTATTTTCTTATTAGAATTTTTTTTAATATGACAACTGCTGACTGGAAGTCAGCATCCTGTCTAGAGACAGAGCCGCACAAAAAATTAGTTCTTCTTAACTCTAAGAATAAATGCCACGTGTCTTCTGCATAAAAACCATGAGGGTCTCATGTTGCATATATTCAAGCCCTCGTGAACATTAATACACAGGGGCAGCGGACGCAGTATGCTTACACACTGTGTTTGATTCCTGTAGTGGTAGGGAGCTTCCCCCAAAAAGTTAAGACTACACTTCCAACACCCATCAGCACAATCGCCATGCAGCCACACAAAAGCTGCTGGCCTCACACTGTCGCTTTGTGTATATCAGCCCGTCAGCCACAGAAATTCTCCAATGAATTTCACATCCATGTGTTTGGTACGGTGCGCGAGGAGCAGGGCAGAGGGCCGGGCAGGACACGGAGTGTGGCGCGGAACCCCAGCGTTCCACTCGGCTAGCGCTGCCATCAGAGCGGTCTCTATGGGAAGCCGATGTGAAGCCGGCCGTGCTGTCGATGCTGGCCCGGTGAGGGCCTCTCCGCCACGCCTGGGCGAGGATTCCTACGGCAGCAGGCACCGCCCGGAGCTCTGGCGTATCCCCGCGCGGCACCGCTGCTGAGTGCCCCTCGCCGGGTCAGGGGGCAGCGCCGGCCCGGCCCGTCCGCCCGCGGGCCGCGGGGGTGGCCGCCCGTGTTTACTGCCCCAGCAGGGGCTGCGAGGATGCGCTGCCACCTCCCGCAACTTCTGCCTCGCCATGCCATGGCCTCTGAATGAAACTCGCCCAACTCGGCCGAGTAAGTTATCGGGAGGCTGCTCGGGGTGCGGCGGGCCGGGCCGAGCCCGCACCCCGCTACCTCACGGCGCTGCCCAGGGCAGACGTAGTTTACTCTCGCGGCGCTGCCCGGGCGGCCAATGGACAGTGGCTGCCGGCGCTGTGGCCGGCACGGCTCCGCGCTGCCCCGGGCGGCCCCCGCTCCCTGCCCCGCTCCGGCACCTCCGCCGAGGGCTCCGCGAACCCTGCGAGGGGCAGCGCGGCGATCTTTGTGTGAGTGTGTGCGAGGAGTGTGTGCGCCGGCGGCTCCCTCGCGGGCCGCGGGTGTAACGGCAGCGCTGAGTGGCTGGCGGGCCCGTCGCTCAGCGCGCCGGCCAATGGCGGGGCGCCTTATATCGCGGGGAGTGTTGTGGCGCTCCCCGGGTTGCATGGCTCTGTGTGGAGCCGCGTTCCGCGGGCGCCGAGGTGGAGGGGCTGCGCTGCGAGCCGCGTCTGGCCCAGCGGCGCGGTGCGCACCCCGCCGAGGTGAGTGCCCCCGCCCGCAGACCCGCACCGGGCGGGCGGAGATGGGCAGCGGCAGGGAGGGAGAGATAGGGAGAGGGGTGCCCTCGCCCCACTCTTTACGCTCCGCGCCCCAGCGGCGGAGCAGCCCCCCGCGCCCCTCCTGCGGCGCTGGCGGACGGGAGGGAGGCGCGGAGCTTCCCCTGCCCGGCGCGGCGGCTGCCGCGGCTCCCAGTCACTTTTCCTCCCTCTTGCCAGCCCTGCCTTCGTTTTGAAAGTTTGGGCAGCGGAGGACGGGTGGGTTGGTGCCGCCAGCCCTCCGCCCGGCCGGCAGGGTAGGGGTGACCGGAGGTATATGACGGGGAGGGGGCCAAGTGGATCGCGGTACAGCGCAGGGCATTTAAAACACCAGCGAGCCGAGCCCGAGAGGCGGCGGGGGTAGGCCAGCCAGTGCCAGGCTGCGTTTGAGACCAGGCACCTCTCGCCGCCACAGAGAGAGGCAAGAGCAGCGGCGGAGAGAGGAAGGGGAAGGAGGGCGAGGAGAAGGAGGGATGGCCACCGGCCGCCGCTCGGTGCGTGCCTCCGTGGGGACTTGACAGGGAAATCGCGGCAGACAGAAACGAAACTTCATCCCGAGGGGCGGCGAGGCGCGGGGGAGAGTGCGCGGATCGGTATCGGCTGCCGCCGGCCTGGGGAGCTCCGCGCCGCCGGGAGAAAGGGCGGGGGGGATATAAAACCGGAGAGGGTCGGAAGCAGCCGATCCAGCGGCCGCACGGGGAGCGGGAGGAAAAACCCCGGCGCCGACCCCGACAACAACAGCGGCGGCCGGGCTCGGCCGGAGAGTTGGGCTGTGCGTTTTCCGGTAGTCATCGGCGATGCACCCGGGGCGGCGGCGGCCCCGGTGGGCAGCGGGGGGGCGGACGGGCGAACGGCCCTGCCGGAGTTTCGCGTGGATGCGGGATTATGTTGTGTCAATAAGTTTAAGGTGGAGAGGGAGGAAGGGAGGGAACGAGGGAGGAAGGCGGGCGGGGGCCGGGGGGAGGTGGCGGCAGGCCTCGGCCGCGCGAAGTCCTATTTCTGAAGGTAAGTTGTGACATTGGGTGGTCGCGATGACAGAAAACTTGGCGAGGGGCGCCTTGGGGAGGGGGCGGCCGCCTCGGGGGGGTCTCTCCCGGCCGCCGGGAGCCGGATGGGTGCTCGGCTGTTATTTGCTGCTGCGAGATCGGGTCGCTGGTAAATTACAGAAAGCAGCCCTCCTCCTCCTCCTCCCCCCGCTCCCCGCCAGGCGCTTCGCTCTTCCTCCTCTCGGGTTTATTTGCAATGTATGAAACTTGCATGGATGTGAGGACAGCCGATCCAGTGTGGGTTTGCGAGGAGGAGGAGGACAGGGAAGGAAGGGTTGGAGGCAGGGGAGAAGGAGGCAGTCGCGCTAATCCCGGGCGCCGCACGGCAGCAGGTTTGCGTTAGGAATATCGGTGGCAGCCCGCTGCCGCCACTGAATGAGGAAGGTAAAACGAAGCGATGCGAGAGCCGCCGAGGCGACATGCACGGCGGCGGGGCGAGAGGCACCGGCAGGCGGCTGCCCGCCCCCTCCCTCCCTGCCTGCCTGCCTGCCTGCCTGCTGCCTCCTCCCTCGCTCCCTCCTTCCCTCCCCGCCGGGGCGGGGAAGGACCGTGCCCGGGTCTCCCCCGCTCGCCGCCAGCCGAGCCGAGGGGCCGCGGGGCTTTAACCGTGTGCGGGGCGGATTCGCCACTTTTTCCGGGGGAGGCCCGCGGTTAAAAGTTTTCTGCGGAGGTGAGTGTGTGCGGGGAGGCCGGGGCGCCGCCAGGCCGGCGGTGGTCACTCGGGCCTGGGGCGCCGAAACCATTGCCCGTCCTGCTGGTGACACGTCCAAGTCCCGCAGCCCGGCGGGGCGGCGGAGGGGCCCGGCTCGGCCGCCGGGGCAGGGACGGGGTGCCGGTCTCCATGTGGGCTCTCCCGGCGGCGGCACCTCCTCCCCGGTGGCAGCGGCGGCGGCAGCAGCGGGATCATCGCCCGGGCCCGCGGGGAGGAGGAGGGGAGCAGCAGGGAGGTGTTTGCTGCCAGCCTGCCTCGCCGGAGCCCGCCGGGGAGGGCAGCTGGGAGGACCGGGGAGCCCCCCGCGCCGCCGCCCCTTCCCTGCGCGCCCGTCCGCCCCCAAAGGTGTTGTGCAGACTTTTCCCCCGGGAGGGTGAGATTTATGCGCTGCATTATTGCTCCTCTCCTCCCCCCTCAAAGCAAGATGGACTCTCTCGTCTCTCTCTCTCACTCACTCTCTCCCTCTCTCTCGTTTTCTCCCTCTCTCCCTGTGTCTTGTCAGCTTTCAAGATCGACATTTTGTAACTAGGATGCAAACTTGATGGTGACCGGGGGCGGGGGGCCGGGAGGGGAGACGGGAAAACCCTGGGTCACGGCGGTCTTACTCCATATTTAATACCTTTTCTTTCCACCCCACCCCGGAGCCCGGATTCCGGTGGCCCTACACTTTGCACGGGCGGAGGGTGGGCGGAGGGCGGGCGGCGGCTGCGAGCGGCGCTGCCCCCGCGGCGGCCGGGGGTCGCTCCCCGCGGGCTGCGGTGGCGGAGGGGCGGCCGCAGCGCTCCGGGCGGCCCCGGGTGGGCTCTGCCGGGGGGCAGCGGGCATTACCTGGAACGGTGCTCCAGCCTTGCAGCCTTCGTCCGTCGCTCTCTCTGTCTGTCTCTTTTCCCCGAGTGGATCTCGTACCTGCGGTCTGGGGTCTTATTCTTGTTGTCAATTTTTGCGTTGTTTGGCTCATCCACGCGCGGCGATTGATCGCTCACTTGTGTAAGTTCCCGGGGGTTATTGTTATGTATCCCTCCTTGCAGATGGTGGTCAACTTTCTGTCTTCTGTTTTGATAATACATGCAAGTACTACTGTGTGTGAGTGTAAATAATTACGTGATGCACCTCTGTGTGTATGTGTGTCTGTGTGCGCTCATAAACATGCATCCATGTGAGAGAGAGACAGAGGAAGAACATCCCACCCTGCTGATGCACACTCAGATGATTTGCTCCATTTGCCCGCTCCTAATGCCCTCTGAAGACACGGTGCATCTTTTGTTTGCTCCTTACGGTTTCCTGCGACTGTCATCTTGTTTTAATGACAGCTTAGCTGGGATGGGGGTGAGGAGGAAGCAAGTTTCAAGTTTTGGGATCTCTCCTCTTATTGGCGATGTGGTGAGTTGCAATATTGTAAAATCATGGTGTGCTGATGATGTGCCTTTATTTGATACTTTATAGGTCATTCTCACATGACAAAGGTTTTGAGACAGCTTCATCTTCGTCTGTCTGTAATTTCCATTTGCCTTCCTGGGTAAGTATGTGAACTGTACACGTGAAAAAAGAACTTGGTTGTTGTTGATAAGATAGAGGTCTTCGTGCTGCCACTTTTTATGAGGAAGATGCTTGTTTTGGTTTTAGCACCTCAGAAAACATGTCTTCTTTGGGTGCTAATACCTGCTGCTAGAATACAAAGTTTGTATGTAGAGTTCCTCCAGGTAACCTGGAAACGAAAAGGCTGTGCATATTCAGAGCCCTCTTTGCTTATTTTTTTTAATGGTGTTTTTTTCCCTTAAACTTTGTAAAGACAACCAGCTGATTGACTTAGGGTGAAAGTTTTAAACCAAAGTAACATTAGAATATGCAAAGTGCAACATACAGGTCGAAAATGTAATGAGCATGTAAAGTCCTTTTAAAATTCAGTGGTAGAAAAGTATGGGAATGTAAACTGAATAGGTAATTAGAAAACTCTGAAGGTCAAGAATCAGTGACAAGTTTAGCAGAACTGTAATGCTGATGCAACAGGAGTTCGTTCAGTTTTAACACGTAAACTGAGAGCTAATTAGAATTCCATCCCATGCTTATTCTGTATTACTGTTTTTACTTTTGGCATTGATGAATGCAGATACCAGTCAATTTGAAATATGTATCTTAGTGACTGGTATTCTTAAGTTTTCAGGTACACAGTAATGTTTTTTTTTCATCTGCATGCTGGGAGAAGTTACGATAACTTTTGAAGGGTTTGACACCTTTTAAGCTGAAGTGGAAGTCGTAGTTTAAGCAAGAGGTTCTAAATTTTTGGGGTCACGTTTGAAAATGACATAAAATAAGTGGCATTTGGAGCACTTCTAATACAATTGCCTGTGGTGTCACTGACCTGCGTTTGGCCCAAAATGGGAAGTGAGGTAGCCTATCTTCTTGGTACTATTCTGCACATAATTAAAAGCAAGACAAGACATGTATTTGGGGTAAGCTTAGCACTCATAAATGCAAATGATTAATAACATGCTCCTGACCTTTTGCAGGCAGCATATAGCAGACATAGGATAAGTGATGGTCCCAAACATGCTGACTTGAAGGGGGCTGTTGGGAGCAGCTGTTCTGGTATGATATTATAACCACAAAGCTAGTGTTAAGGCTGGGGTAACCACTGTGGGCAGTTGGTTTGAAGGGGAATTCTGCTGTTCTCCAGTTCCTGCAGATTTACACCTTTGGATTTTGTATGCAGTGTAGTTAGTATGTGCAGGTCTCAGAGTATAAACACCAAATTCAATTACTGAATTTTTTTGTGACAGACTAGTTGCATAGGAGAATATTGCTTTTGGTTTTATAGTATTACTGACAAGGATCGTGTTCTGTGAAGAGTAATTGTTGCAACAATTTTTTCCAAGTAAAAATGTATGTGGACATTCAAAGCCAGCAGATAGGCTTCAAAATGTTGATCAGGGCTGAATACAAATGTACTGATTTCTGAACTTAATTTTCTGTGTTTTCAGTTAAGAGTCACATGAGAGTGCTGTAAGTGCTAAGGACATTTTCTTTATTTCGAGTCATAGTAAAGGATACTGAAAAAGAATAGCTCAGAGACCTTGACTCGGATCTTGAGTCATTATCTGGTTTTAGTTTTGTTATGAAGTCTTTTGGATGCATGGAATGTTGATCTGGCAGTGAAGTGGTGATCGTAATCTTCCCACACTTGGAGAGGAGTGGACCATGGTTTTGTGCATCATGCTAAATGTGTGTCTCACCTGGTGTTGAACTGGCTTGAAAGAAGAAAAGGGTAGGGTATCATTTTTATGAAAAAAGCATAATAGGAGCTTTAGAGGAAGAGAAGAAATACATTTCATTGTAGCTTTAAAAAAAGGCAGTGAAAATAATGCGCTTAGTTAAGGTGAGAATAGAGATGTTGTTAGGTTTGTCCATTACTAGAAATCTAAGTTTACTTTAGGGAGCTTTTGTTTTGGTAAAAGGGAAGATTTCTTTTATTATACAGTTCTCACTAAAGTAACTGTGCATGACTGGATTTTAGTCATTCAGTCTTGACGTACAGGAGTTCTGGTTTGCTTGGCGAGTGCCAGTGCAGGGCTGGTGTGTCACAAGATAGAAGGTGATGAGCTGCTTTGATAGGGGCCTCGTGGATGTTCCAGAAATTGTCCCAAGCTCTCAAAAGTTTGTTGCACACTACTGTCCCTCTTGGCACAGCAAGCTGATAAACCATGTCAAGTAGGCATGGAGTTTAGCAGAAACATAGCTGGTTTCTGTGTGGAGGTAAACTCACATTATTTAAGAAGCTTGCTATTGACCCTTTGGAGTTTTTGGGGGGCTGCTTGCTGTAAGCTCATTGCCTGCAAAACTTCCATTGGCTTCTGCAGGAGGTTTATTTAGGAAAGGAGTGTAGGAGTGATGGTGAGAGGAATTTGTCCATGTTTATTTTTCCCCTTCAAGGAAGAAAACCTTTATCTTTCATAGCTGTTGTGTGAATAATTAAAGATATTAAATGTCAGTTTTCCACATAAAATATCAGAGGTAATCATGCCATTATTTTATAACTAATGTTGTTCCTGTTCATCCGGAATGCTCTTAATACACTTTGTTCGTAAATTAGTGGTTCTGTAATTGGTGATCCTGTAAGCATGTGAATATCTTGAAGCAGATGACAAGTAATGTTAAATTCACTGGTACGACTGCTTGCATTCAGAGCTTAAAGTTCTTCCAGGTTGCTGCCACTCATGGTCTGGGGGCTGAGGATGTGCAGTGTCTCTGGAGCTCATGAACACGGCATTAGGCAGGGCAGTCTTCTGGCACAGGATGGGGAAGGAGTGGTGTGAAGAGAGGAGGACTGGACTGAGTGAGCTGGGACAAGGTGCTCTTCCACCACGCGTGATGGTGGAAAAGGTGCAGGTAAGGTTGATGAGACTTGTGGTGTGCAAGGCTCTGCTGTGATGTGAAGTTTGTAAATACACCTGCAGTGAAATTTGGATGCCTGGAGGTGAGACACTGCTTCTCTTTCAACAGTACATGGCTTGTGTAGTGTTCAGATCCCCCTCTTTATCTGAAGGCGGTTCCTTGGTGGAGGAAGGTACTATAAATTAAAATTGGAACTGAAGTGAAACTCTCATTTTAATTTTTTAGTGTGTTGCAGGCTGCCTTTGTGAGCTCTGGCAAGTGATTTAGTCAAAACCAGAAGCTTCTTTCCAAATTTCAGACCCAAGCTGGACTTCCTCTGTCCTGTTATGATGATGGCCTGCTGTGGCCACCAGTGGAATCAGCAGCACACCTTTGGCCTGCTGATGGCTTCCAAGGTCTTTACTTTTAGAAGCATAGCCCTATGTCCCTTGGTCACTTCTGAATGGAGAGTGACAGTACTTCCCTGTATCATTAAATCATATGGCACACGTATATTAGGACAGTTTTCATGAGTAATTTAAGTTTTTCAAAGCAATATAGATACTGTTGCAGCTTACTGTAAACTTAATAATTTATGTTTTCATTATTATTTAGGGGTCTATAAAGCTGGATTGAATTTATATGTATCTCAAAATATTCTTGAGAAAGAAGGATGACTTTAACCTATTTCTAACTTCTATAGTATTATTTATTTTCCTTCTACCATGTTTCTCCCTTTCCTGGGGTATTATTGCCAGAAGCCTTTTTGTTCAGTTTCATGTCAAAAGATTATTATGACTTACTTCCTTTTTATTATTTTGTTTTTGTTTTTTTTTAAGATCAGGAATGATACAGTGTTTCTGTCTGAGAGTAATGGGGTGAGTGTGGTCCTGGTGGACTTGTGAATTTCACAAAAGACTCCTACAGCTTCACCCTTCTTGATAGTTTTGGAAGGGGTAATACCTGACACAGCCTAAGGATTACTCCGATTTTAAAAATGGCTTGATGGGCTGCTGTTTCGCATTGCTTGAAAAATAAAGAAGCACATACTATTTTCTCAATAATAGTGATATTATTAATAATTGGCGGTTGTAGGCCTTGCCTTATTTGTGCACTTCTGTCCTGTTTGGTGAAGTACACAAGCCATACTGTAATGACACACCTCAAGATCAGTAACCATTTTTTCCCAGTTTTAGGCATCTGAGATGAAAAGCTGTGAAGGAGTGTAGGCTTTCCTGCAGTCACTTAGCAGGTTAGCAGTAGCAGGGAATGGAATAAAATCTGCATCTGACTCCTTAGTTTTGTGTCCTTTCCCTTGCTCTGAAGCTTTCCTGGTAAGTGCTTGTCTTGAGATGTGAGTAGACTCACTGAATTCTGTGCCTCTTGGACATCTTCTGCCAATACTCCATTCATAATGCTGTTTTAAAAAAAAAATCCCACCTTCAGAATGTTGTGAAGTTACTGACTTACAATTTGATTATATTTATTGACAACACAGTGTGTAAAAGTAGGAGGAGAGCTTACTTAAGAGCTTTTGCCAGTAAACATGGCATTTAAACTGCTGTTTATTGCAGTATTTATTACCCCTATTTATTTAATACTAACTTGGTGAAGTTAATGCAAGGAAGAAAATGATTCTTCACAGTGATGTTTTTAAAATGTGATTGATGTGAAATAATTCTTCACAATTAAATTATTTTTTCATATTCATAATTTAATGCGAAATGACAACTGATTTTCTTATAAAACATGGAATTGACAGAAGCAGCTACTTTGGTACTCTGGCAGTATTGTGATAGGGTCACTTGCTTTTATTTCTAGAGACGGTAAACATATGTAAGATTTTCAGATTTGCTGTTTAGTGGTGTTTTGTTACTCAGAATAAAAATTTGATGTAAAAATTGGAGGTGTATTTGAGGAGTAAAGCACTCCTTACTTAATCCCTGGGTGTAGACTTATCTGTAATAATTCTCACAATGGTAGCAGCATTTTATTATTTCTAATATTTATAAATTTAATTACCTAAGAAGTGAATCAACAAAGAGGAAAAACATGGTTTGACACTTTCCAGTGTTCGTGCTTTTTCCTTTATTGCATACAAATGCATAATGTAATAGCAAGTCCTTATGAGTGTGGACAATTCAGCAT